CCTGATGAGGAAACTGAGGCACGGAGAGACTGACTCGGCCAAGGAAACAGCCACGGGAAGCCCCAACCATTACCCTGTGGAGAGGGACAAAGGACGTCTAGACAGTGTCACCTCCTGCGGTGGCAGGGGCCTCACTACCCTGGCAAGAGCCCTGCAGGTGTGAACTCTGGCCCTCGAACTCTCGGTGATCAGGCTGGCATCCCAGACGTCCTGGGAGAGGACAGATTCCAATCCTCACTTCACAAATGGGGAAACTGAGGCTGGCATGGAGAAGCTGCTTACTTAGCTCTGTGTCCAACACGCAGCCTGTTCCCATTTAGCCTGGGCCTCTCTTGCCCTTCCTAAGTTATTTAGAAAAGGCTTACTTGGGTTTTTAAAGAATGGCATTTCTGTCCTGTGGGCATGTTTGGACTTTCCTGCACCTCATCAGCACCAGATGCGAAAAGGGCTGAGGTGGTTATAATGGAGCCAGTCCCCCCTCAGTACTGTGGGAGGACAGACACCTTTAGGGGACTGTGGATCTAGCGGTGACCCCTCCCACCTACCCAGGGCTACTGGCTAGTCACTGCACTTTTTCCTCCGGCCTGCAGCGGGGGGCACCAAGGGTCCACAGGAGTCAAGACCAGACACAGGACACGCGACAGAGCTGTTAGGAGGGCCAGCAAACCAAGAGCAAGAGCGAGCTCCCAAGACAAGCCCACGAGCTAAGCACAGATGTGACACTTCTAAATGATGAAAAGAGGGATATTACACGACTCACAAAAGTTACACGCAATTCACACTTCAGTGTCCGTAAATACAGCTTTAGTGGAACACCGCTTTTGCTTAGATTGGGTTGCAGCAGAAATGTGGCCAGCAAGCCTCCGATCAATGTCCAGTCACTTACAGACACAGTCACTCCCCCAGGCTAACCCTAAGGCCAACCCCGAGTTTCCACGAAGCTGGTGTCAGAGCCCTGAGCAGCTCCAGACTGCTGCGGGCTGAATCTGGCTTGTCCCCTTCAGAAGTTAACGTTGACACTTGACAGCCACTGTGGCAGTGCTGGGTGGGAGGTCCTTTGAGGGTCACAGGGAGGAACATGGACTTTCTCCTAGGAGTCAGTTCTTGCTCTCTTGGGACTGGATTAGTCACTGCAACCACCAGTTGTTAAAAAGTGAGGTAGCACTCCTGTGATTCCAATACTCTTGAAGCCTAAAGCAGGGGGATCTCAAGTTCAAGCCCATCCTGGACATGGACAACTTAGCAATTTAGTGAGATCCTGTCTCATTTTTAATAAAATATGAAGAGCCAGGGATTTAGCTCAGTGGTTTCGCCATCTGCCTTGCAAGCGCAAGGTCCCGAGTTTGATCCCTGATACCAAAAAACAAAACAAAATAAATAAATAAACAAGCAAACATGAACAAAATGGCTGAGGATGTAGCTCAGTGTGAAGGCCCTGGGTTCAATCCCCAGTATTGCAAAAATGACAAAATCAAGGCTGCCCCTTGTGTTTTGCTTCTTTTGCAAGTACATCTACTTTCCAGTGTGGATCAAAGCAGCACAGTCCTCACCGGAAGCCAAAGCAGATGCAGCCTCTGGGCTCTCCACCATGTGCTCCTCCCCTCTCTGAGCAAGTTCTTCCCCTGCAAATCAGTCCCGGGTATTCTGTGACAGCAATGGAAAACAAGGCATAGGCCCTACTTCCACTGAGAGTGACACCAGACAAAGCCATCCAAGTCCCCCACTTCACAGAGCTTCATTTCTATTATCTGAAGCCTGTTAAGACAAATACTTCCCGACTAGGATCACCTTAAACCTTACTGGTTACTTCAACAGCATGAACAAATTTAGTCAATTGTGTGTTGTGTGTTCAACCAATATTTGCTAAGGTCCCACAAAATGTAGTAGAGCTGGGCCCCGGGAAGGCAGCAATCGGAGGGCGTGGACTGCTGCGTGAGCCCCCAGTGTTTCCGGGTTCTGGGTGGTAAGGGTTGGGGTCGCTCTGAGACAGGGTGAGAGGCAGCAGCCCCTGAGAGCGCTGCATCCTGGAGAACATTCTGATCCAGTGAAGTGGTGTCCGGAACCACTCCCTGCAACTCCAGGGTCCTGCATCACAGTGAACCCCTTCCACTTACAGGGGAGCCTCAGGCCCTGCACAAAAGCGAGCCTGGAAGCCTCGCAGCAGGCTCTCCATCCCTCCTCCCGCCACCCCACGCTGGCTCCGTGTGTGCCTGACACTCAGCTGATCTGCTTTAAAAGTGAGATCAACAAACTGCAGAATTGGATGTTCATTTCTACCATCTGCAGGCAACACGAGTTCAAGTTATAATAGCACGAGTATTAGAGAACCATTTACACATCCACAGCCATTTACTGATTATAAACACACTAAAAAAAAAAAAAACCAAAAAACAAAGGGGGTGAGTGGCTTGGGGCCCCGCACCTGCTGCCCCACATGCCTCAGTGAATCTCACGCCCAGAAGCTCTCTCAGGACTTGTTACGGCGCTGGAAGCTGGTTGGTTAGTTAGGGCTTGTGTTTCTTTTTTCCTTTTTAAAATGTTTGTTTTTGGGTTTTATCCCCCCCACCCCAGCATAAATCAAGTTGGCCTCAAAGTATACTTATAACAAATAGATGGGAATAAATGGAAAATAGACCATGATCATAAATGTGAACCAAAAAATGCTCAGTTCCCCAGTGTTAAAAGGCCCATTTGTTTCCAAACTGGTAGATAAAAACTGACGACTATGTTTACTGGCCTTCAAGAAAGTAGCAACGGTCACTGTGAAAGGCTCCTGCCCACCTCCTAGCCCAGCCGGTCCCCTCCAGGAACGCTGGGGTCACTAGGGAGTGGGCAGCAAAAAGAAGCGGCACGTCAGTGAGGGAACAAAGAGAAATGGATGCATCTACAGGCTAACAAAAGCAAGGCCACCGCCAAGCCCTGAAAATATCTTCTGCACCAAGTGTCATCTTTTACAAGGTCCACTTCCCTCAGACCTGCTCCTGCCCCTGCCACCCGCCTCTCAGTGACTCCAGTCTCCAAGCTGCTCAGTTCTGTCCCAAAGCAGCCCTGCCCCGAGCCAGGGCTCTGTTCTTCCCGGGAGGGCTTCACATTTCAGCACAGCAGTGGAGCCCATCTCCAGGTGGGCTTCCCCGCTGAAGTGGGGTTTCCTTCTGCCAGCTTTCCCACTGAGCGCTTTTGCGTTGTAATGGCATAAAGGACCCATTTATTACCCATGACCACGTTTTCTAGAGAGAGGAGTGAGGAACAACTCTCCCTGTCAGCTTTTTATCTGGCCAGAGGCTCCAAGTTCCTCCTAAAAGTTCCTCTATTGGCCCGGTGTGGTGGTGCAGGCCCATAATCCCAGGACTTGGGAGTCTAAGTCAGGATTGCTGCCTGGGCCACATGGTGAGTTCAAGGCCCGCCTGAACTGCCTAGCAAGACCCTGTCCCAATCAATATAAATAAATATAACGTGACACAGGAGACCCATCACCAGAGAGTCCTTCCCTAGAGGCATTGCACTTCCTCTGCTGAGCTGGGGAAGAGGACTTCCTGCCTCCCTTTCCTATGAAATCTGGTTTTAAAATGGCCTCTACCTTTCAGCCCCATAAGGTCTTCTGGCAAGACTCCACCACAGCTCCAGTCCCCTTCCATAAACTTTATTATGGGGTGGTGGTTAAAGAAATAGAAACAGCACGATTAAATGCTGGGTCAAACTGTTAGGGGAAAAATTAATTTATATTCAAGTTTATTTTTCTGTACATCAAGTGCCTGTTGGCGAAATAGAACTGTATCCAGTAACTCACATTCTCTAACTTATTCCAGCTAATACAAAAGCTAAATAGAAGGATTTACAATTGGACATTGGGTTCCAGACACTGGTATCACCTATCATCCTCTGACAGAGTGAGACTTCATCAGCAGAGGACCTGTGAACCAGTCTGATTTAAAGTATCTCTCCTGCTGTGTGAGTAAGTAACACGCTGCATGGTGACCAAGAGTGTTTGATGTTATTCAAATTTTATTTTCCGGGCAGACTATTGCAGTGCAATGACTTTAAAAACCAAACTCAAAAATTTTGCCTGATAGCCTTATTAATAAAAATAGTTGAAGCACAGAGAGAGAAGAGATCATCTTAAGCAAAGAATGGAAATGTGTCCTCCACTGCCCCTGCCACGGTCCCGGCTAAGAGACCAATTAGGAGACTTACCAAGTAGTACTGGCAATTTATGGTGAACAATCTTAGGTTCACATTCTTTAATGCTTGCTCTGTATGTGGAAATGGGAGAGGGTGAAGGAAAAAGACACTGGAGTGGAGGCAGAGAAAAGCCTGAATGTTCACAGGCTATAACATCCCTTTGAAAACTGCAAATTCTGTGACCTCAGGATCAAACAGGCAGAACAGAGCTAGAATTTCCAAACCACACGAAAAGAAAGGGTTAATCCCCAAAACTGCAAATGAGTTTATGCACCCTGAGCAGTTGTAACCGGACTGCACTGGCGGTGGTTTATGTCATTTACCTTCAATCAGAATCGTTATCGATGCAGTGGCCACCAGAGACCAGGAAAGTGGATACTAGGAGGCATTTGCTAGTCTCCCAGCTCGGGCCTTTGTCAAGCTAAGTGACAGTGACACAATGTGCATGACCTGGTGTAGCCCACATGAAGAATAAACTGAGCTGTCCTCATTTACAAAGCAACAGCATTCCCTTCCCTGCGTAGACTCTCTGCATGTCTTGGCTTACACCGGTTCTACAATGTGGCCCCAAATTCACACAGAAAACTTTTTAATCCAGGATTCACTCATGTGAATTTAGTGACTGTGACTATTTTTAATGTTTGGACTGTGGAGATAATACATTTAAAAATAATCTGGCCGGGCACGGTGGCGCACACCTGTAATCCCAGCACTCGGGAGGCTGAGGCAGGAGGATCACTGTGAGTTCAAGTTCAGCCTGGGCTACACAGTGAGTTCCAGGTCAGTCTCAACTTCATAGTGAGACCCTGTCTCAACCCCCCCCAAAATAAAAAATAAAAATAACCTATACCATGTTTATTAAATACTTTAATTCAACTCAGTCTTGGTCTCCAAGGCTGCTGAGCCAGTGTCTAAAGTAGTCTGACACATTCACTCCCTGCTCGGGAGGAAATACATCGGTCTGAGCTCATGTTTACAGACAGTCTAAGACAATGCACAATGTCACCAACACCCCAGAAAATTGCTTTCTTGTGCACAGTTTACACTGCTAAATCAGTATGGAAATTTAATCCAGAAGTCAAACACAGCATCTGTTATTGCAATGTTTTTCAAACTATATTTAAGATGAGTGAAGTTATTTCATTTTTTAAAAATGGGTTCCTCTTTGGATAAAGATACATTCAAATTGGATTAGTCTTTACTAAAGGAATTCTCAGTAGTTTTTAACATGCCAAAATTATTTGTCTTATCCACTCCCCCCCAGACCTCCATGAATCCCTTAGTTGGACCAGAGCTCCACAGGGCAGATTATGGGATATCCCCTTGGCATAGTGTTGCATTTGGAGACCTCACTAACTCCTCAAGCTGAGATACTAGCCCATCTCTTAAAATTAACAAAAATCATTGTTAGAACCCAGAAGTCTAGAATTTTGCTCAGAAAATGAGCTTATGGGCACACAGAGAGGAATACACCTATTTATCATCTACACCATTTTCACCTCCCAGCAAAAATGTTCAAAACACCCATGTCAGCCAATCTTGAAGGTGGCTATGCACAACACCTGAGCAAACTACTCAATATACAAAGGCTGCTTAAGGTAAACACCGTAAGTGGAACAGTTTTCACTTGCCCAACTGGAAAAGTGTGTGAGTGCCATAGAAAACAATTTATGACTTTTGGAGAGTGAGCGGTCCCAATTATCACTACAGATTCTTTATGCAGTATAGTTCGATAGCATCTATACAGCTATCTTCTGATGTAGAGCCACTTGTCACTGCATGACGGGATGTGGTCTGAGAAACGGCGTTTGCTGACTTCAGCACCTGTGGACATCACAGCCTGTACTCACACAAACCAAGACAGCCATGATGTCACGCGATGGCCGAATCTCGTGGGACCACCATTTTACATGTCCTTGTGGGACCACGAGGCAGTGCATGGCTGCTCCTGAAGAAAGCTGCTATGGGAAACTTCTCTCTACACGAGGAATCCATTTACTTCTGAGCGGTGCCTCTCAATCTCAGCACACTGACACGTGGGGATGGATAATTTTGTATGATGAAAGCGCATCTTGTGCACTGCAGGATGTTAGGTAGCACCCCTGCCCTCTACCCACCAAATACCAATTACATCACCCCAGCTATGACAACCAAAACTTCCCTAGGTGTTACTCAGATGCAAGCAAACTATCCCCAGCTGGGAACTACTACTCCTTACTCTAACTAAAGTTTATACCATGACTCTGCTTTCCCGGGGAATGTCCCTTCCATAGGCACAATGTGACTACAAGGAAATATCCAATAACTAGCAGCATCGGAGATCTCTCCAAATTCTGTATGATCAGAAATATAAGTAATTCGCGAATGTTGGAAAATGGTTAGGAAGAAGCACTGCACAAAGAAAATTAGAGGGTAATTTTATAGTCATTGTATTAATATGAATTCTGACTCATTATGCTTAATTAACAAATATTCTCACAATTAGAAAAAACTAACTGCATATTCTAACTTGTTAAGGGTCATAAGGATTGAGGCAGTCAACACTAAAGCACATAACAATCATCAAGGGCTCAGACCACAGCCTCCTTCCTGATCAAATATTCTCTACAAAATCATCAATTCAACAATCTCAAGTCCTATCTCAAAACTGCTTGTCTGTACTACAGCTGCATCATTTTCTTCACATTACCAAAAAGAATCCTTCACATGTCATGAGGAAGTATCCTGGTTCGTGTCAAGAAGCACATTATCTAGTCTTAAAGCTGTGTCTTCAATAGCCACATTTTCAGTTTTGTCATAATTATCAACCGTAGGCACATCGTTCTGTTTGTTTTGTTCTTTTCTTACTGTCTTTAAACACTTGTCAAGTCTCTTTATGAACAAGTCTACATCCTGCGTCTTCATTCCAATAGCTGCGGCAGCATTGAGGTAAGCACAGGGGTAGTCATTTGCATGGGACATGAAGCCTCTGAAAGTGTGGCCACTCATAGTTTGCACAAACCCAAGAGGCACAACCCTGAAAGGGAGAAGATTTATCAACTTAGTACGTCTGGTGATATTAACAGAATGTCACCCATAGATAAAACATATCCATTACTAAGCCGTACACCCACTTACTAAGAAGTTTAAAAACAGCAATAAATCATGGCCTACGCAAACAGACTGCGTCAGCCTGAAAATGAAATTATACAACACGCTGCTATTTTACATGGAAAAGTCCTGCCTGGTGATTACCATTTATTTTATTTTCCGGGAAAAAACACAAAGCTCAAGGAATCTCAAACGTTTTCACATCTCCAAAAAAGTAAAAAGAAAATGACTTGTTTTTGTGCCATATCTGGAACCAGATTTCACTTACATACATACTTTAAGTCAAATCACTTGGAGGTGATTGACTGCCATGTGTCACCTCAACTACCAGATTAAATTCAAAGTATCTCATTGTGCAGCAAAAAGTTTTCGAGCAAACACCTGAAAGGAAATATATCACTGCTCACGAGCACAGTTGTGGCCAGCAAACTGTAACATTCTGCGATGGCACATGCATTTCCTAAGCTGGATTTCATGGCATATTTACATTTCTAATCTTTTACTTTTTTGTTTTTAAAGACGTCAATTAAGATCAACCTAAACATAAATAGCAGCAACACTAAAAGCAAAATCAAGAAAACCATTTTGGAAATGTCAAAACTATACCATATAAAGAATTCATCAAGGTAAAAAAGTGAATTAATCTAAGATTTTTCTTTTTTTGAAAAGCTATCCTTTAAGCTGAAGTTTCTACCCTAGTAGTCAGAGTGAAATCCTTTTTAGAAGTACGTGAAGAAAAGGATTTCAAGTTATTTTTCTCTATCTCATCAAAGGCACAACCTAAAGTAACACTGATTTTCATACTATGAGTATAAAAGAGGAAAAAGTATGTTTCTAAAGCAACCGTTAGGAATTACAGCACCTTTTAGTTTAGGAAGCAGGCACTTCCTTAGCTTTTCCTCTTGAATTTAGTAGGGGACACAATTTATTTCTAATTCCATAACATGACATCACTGAGGATCATCTAACAAAGGAAATAAAGACTAAAACCTGTACAGAGAGGCCATGAAACTTTGTTTTTACATATCTATTAAAAAGAAAACAAGATTCATATCTTTCCGCGACTATTTCAGGTATAGGAAGACAGATAATAGCCTTACAGATTCTCTACCTCATCATTCTTTGATTCCACCATGAAGTGTCGGCACCTGGGGAACAACTGCTGAGGAAAGGGCCTTTACCAGAATTAACTTGGAAAAGCCAATTGACCCAACTCTCTTCTGAACACACTTACCTGGCGCCAGAAACCTGTCTGGTAAAAAGCATTGAGCCAAGCTCAGTGACAGCTGTGTCGTGGTGTGCATCTAGTGTCTTCAGTGTCACAGCTGAAAGAGAAAAAATATCCCCAAAGAAGTTTCCGTTTACAGCACAAAAATCACTCAAAACAACACTGATGGAGAAATTAGTGTACTTCTTATTCTCTGTCAAGTAGAGTAATATCATTTTAATGTCCTTAATTACAGCAGGGATTTGCTTGCATATCAAATGTATTTTATCTAAATTAACATATTTAGAATAAGGAACAGAATTCCTTATCACTCCTCCAGAGAGTGAATTTTTCCAGATAAACAGATGGAAAATGATATGCTCAATGTGGCTATTTACTTGAACTCAATCAAGTTTTAAGAACTTATGAGAATGTGGGATATACCTCAGTATATGTAAGATTAAGGAAGATCAGCTTCTGCATACGAAAATGGAATGATCACGCCAAGACCGTGTCCCACACTCACCATCACTACTATAACCACCGTTTACTGAAGACTGGCTGACCATGCCTGACACTTGGCAAACATAATCTCAGCCGATCTTTTAACAGATCTGCATCGAGAGACCACTACCTCTACTTTAGAGACTGGGATAAGGAGGTACCTGGCAGAACTGATACTCTACCCACTATTACTTTCCACATACCAGCAAAGGATAGGGGTGGTTTTTATTAGATGTCGGTACCCAAATGGTAAGCCACAGAAACCTTTTCCTGAAAAGCAACAGTTACTAGTGATTCACTTTCCTTACTTTCCTCAGATGTATGAAAATTCGAAACACATTACATTTTACATATTCCAAATTAAAAGGGAGTGATTATGAAGCTTTTAAGTCAAATGCATAAAACTCAATGTTCACGGTATCATTTTTAAGTAGCCCTTGTACTATATGACAGAAATACATAGTCCTTATACAAACAAATGAAGTTATAATAAATACAGACTTCTCTAAAATGCAGAAGCTAAAGAAAATAAGCAATAGTAACATTTAAAACAATGTGGAAAGAGTTTTAATTTCTGGTATGTTGGTGTTTTGTTAACTGAAGTTCTGATTAGAGTGGACCCTCAAGTTACAACTGGTGGAACATAGGAACAACCTGGGTTAATTAGGTTAATGAAGATTCATCTGCCTCTTCTCGTCTATAGCATGCACCCAGGTAAACATCCAGATCTCAGCTTGACTGACTTACAACCAACCTGAATTACAGCCACCCCTCGGGAACTGATCAAGTCAAGGGTCCACTGTACTGAGTTCTTATACAGGCTAAGTTACTTAGAAACAATACTTTATTTACTAATTAATTCTGATGTTTTTGTGGATACATATCTTGGAAATATATTAAAGTGCTTCTAAAGGCCAACCAAATTTGTTCAATATACTTATAAACATTAAAATGAATTTACAAATGTTATAATCACAAAGTTTCCTCTTTCCCTATAAATATCAACTTTCTAAGAATATAGCACAAGTACTGATTTTCCTTTTTTAGGTTAAAAATTACCTAATGATATGGGATTGTGAGGTGTCTGCAACACTCTTTCACAGTAGGCTTCCGACAATTTCTTTAGTTGGTTGGACAAATATGAAAACATTTCCTGCAATACAAAATGTCACATTGGAAACAAATCAAACAGACACTGCAATTTATCAGATCCAGTAGTACAAAATCTGGGATGAAGCCTGTGCCATAGACTCTCATCTACATGCCCTCCTTTGCCACATGTAGTGAGATTCAAAGCTGCCACAACTATCAGAAACCACAGGATTCAGGCGAAGACGAAAGACCAGGCCCTTCATGATGTATCCATCACAAATCCACTTTCTCCTGAGAAGCTCCAGAACTACCACTCTAGTCTAAGCAGCCATCGGCTTCTCCCCTGGACACAAAAGCAGATTTTTAAATTACTCCTCTGTGTACTCTGCCTGCTACAATCTATGCCACACCCAGAGGCCAGAATGGTCTTTCAAAAGCATAAATTCAAGAGCATCCTGCTTCTCTTCGGATGACGTCCTCCTACAACTTTGAAACAGCCCTTCCTCAACTCTGAGGCCCCATAGGATGTACCGCAGTCAAACCCCTAGTCCAGCGACTGTCACTCCTCCACTCCCAGCCACCAGCATCTGTCTTCTTTCCAGCCATATCAGAGTCTGCACCTTTGCACTTGCTTCCCCTGGCTTTCCTGCATCATTCCCTGGCCCCATCTGTCACATTCTCAGCAGACTTCCTTTGTCATTTCTCCACTAATACATCTCCATAACTCTATCCATCCCCAACTCCCAATCTTGCTCCAACACCATTACCTAGTTCGGTTTTTTCCCTAGATGTACCACAATGTGAAACCATTTGCCTAAATGAGTCTTGCCTACCATAGAATGGAAAAACTCCTTGAAGGCAGGAGCTGTCCTCTACCAGCACGAAGAAAAATGTGTCAGACATTGGTTCACAAGTTGCACATTAAGTGGTAGCTTAAAAATGAATTCCTATCCTCCCCAGTACTGGGGATCAAATCCAGGGTCTTATATATAGCACGCAAGTAATCTACCACTAAGCTACATTCCCAGCCCAAAATATATTTCCTTTAAATCATGGTAAATTAATGATTCTCTTAATATATCAACTAAAACTAACAGTTCTCCTACTATGAAAAGTAATGTATACCTAGTAACAGAAAATACAATAAAATATGTCTTATAAGTATAAGATGGCTTATGTAAGTAAGCGGCAGTTTAATAAAGTTACAAACAAATGTCAAACTGGCATTTAAACTAAATTTTTACTTTCTTCTATTTATAAGGCCTTTCAAAAGATATTAAAATGAAAAACTGCCCAAGGACATCTGCAGCAGAATGAACCCATTTGCATTGATTTCATCCATCCATAGTCGAAACACAATGAACTCTAAAGATAAACCAACAGCCAAGGGACAGAGAGTGGAGGCAGCAGAAATACGCTTCTCCAACTTCAAGAGCAACAAAAGCAGCTCCTGTTTTTCTCCCTAAAGTAAGGGTTAGAAACTCTAATACCACTCTGAGTCCAGGGTAACTTTTTTGCACCAAAAGCACAGATATTGACTACATTTTTGTTCAAATTCAGTAAAAATTAAGACAAGGACAATTCCATGCTTACAAATTATTAATAAATCTATTTATGACCACACTGTTGTCAACACAATACAGTATATATTTTATATTCGCACCTAAATTTTTTGCCAAATAATCATTCTTAAACTTTAGCATATTTTACAAGATTCTCAGTACTTCAGAATAATGAAATGTTAGATCACTAAAATTAATTGGTTCCTTTTATATTCGAACAGTTAACATCCACAATTGTCCTACTTAAACCAAGCACCAGTAAGTATTATATGTGGTAGGACTTTCCCTTTTGTCATTAAAAAAAAAAAAAAAGAAAGAAAGGGAGCCAAGTGTCATCATGTTCAGAAATGGAAAAAACAAGCTGTTACAGGAATATTTTCTTAGATAAAAAAGACTTCCTGACTCCTCCTTAAATCAATATATTCCACTTTTCCAATATTCCAATATTCTTTTAGAAGATGAAATATAAAACATGGAATCAATAAATTGTTTCCATAGCAGTTAGTACAATTCAAAATGTTTTAATACCACAGCAGTGTTAATATAGGATAGAATTCTTATGTCTCATTTCTGTATTTCCAACTACTACTATGTACCTAGGTGACCTAATTTAAATGTTCTGTACTTTTTAAAAGCAGCTAAATATTTTCATTTAGATATCAAGTATTGATTTTTTTCTCATATATGTTATTCATTAAAGTCTTATCTTTCATCTGTCTACCCAGTTCTCCATTACTCTCAAATTCATCAACCTGATTAGCAAAAGCAAATCTGATAGCCAGGAAATGCTTTTTATGGACCTCTACACCTTCTCTCTAATAACAAAAACCTTCATTTATCTTTAAGCACATATTAATAAGGAAATGCTTTCTCCATATATTGCAATGGTGAAAACCAAATTAAAATAGTATTCCATCTAGTTTGGCTGCCACATTAAACACCAATGTGGTCACATTTGTAGAAAAAGAAGAACATGATAAGTACTTAATTTGCACTTAAATTCGCTATTTCTGAAAAAAGAGGAAATGTTTCCTTCGAAACACCCCTAGGGAGTGCTTTTAAACTTACTGGTGCATACATGGTTATCAAAAAAATGAATTTGCTCAATATTAAATTTCTAATACTTTAATAAATTAGCCTTAATGAATTCTATCAATTACTTGCTAATACCATCAGAATTCAGTTCAAACTGTAGCTGTATTAGGATGGAAATTCTTAGACTATGAATATAATAAGGTAACTAAATCTCATATATCACTAGAATGGGAGTAATTAGATTAAAAATATTTTTAAATCAAGTTTACATCCACCAACAAATACGTCTGGTAGCTATACTCTGTTTGAAGGGTTATGACAGGAAAACCAAGAAGCAAAGAAGCTTTAAGTATCTTAAAATACCATATACTGAATTCTGTATTACTCCAAGCACCAAGGTCCCTAATGCTACCCAACTGATACCACTGCATTTTTAAAATAACTTTTTTTTTAGACTGCACTACTATCCTATACTAATACTTAGCTAAGCAGTTTTTTTACCTGATATATTAAAGTTACTTCAGAACTTGCACTATTTTTTTGCTACAGTTAAATCTATAACTGACATTTATTATAAAATACTTCAGTAAAGGAAGAAATTTATAAGCAGCCCAAGCAAATGTATATAGAAAGATCTTACTTAAAAGAAATGAAATATTATTGATTTTCTATGTCCTTCGTGCTGTATTTAACTTAGTTTTTAAAGATTTTCACTAGAAATAAACTGAACTACATACCTGAATGCTAATGTCAGCTATATTTCTAGAATAAAAACACAAAACCTTACACCATAGTTCAAGATGTTAATGGAAAAGAAGTTGAATCATATTAAGCATTATCTTTCATAGGACCTTTTAAAAGTTGATTTGCAGCATGAAACCTAACTTCTATACTACCTCTCTTCAAAATCTGAAAAGTGTATAATTCACTAACTCTTAAAGAAAGTCTCATTCACTTAAGACTTTCATGTCTCTTGAAACATATTGTTTCATGTTACAGGGTAAGATGAAAAGAGCACTTTGCATATTACTATGATCTCTCTCCTAGTTTCATGAGAAACACAAGTAATAGAATGCTTCAATGAAAACATGAACAGATGGGTGGATGATACTGTACATATGTATTCACACACACCCACACACGCCCACGGAGAATAGTACTAAATGCAATTTACTGTAGCCAGCAAACAGGATCCACAGACTCGACAGACTTTGTCTGAGGCAAGGCAACATGCTCACATGCTGAGGCCCCACATCCAGGCCTGCAATCTCATGGTTTCAAGAGATTCTATTAAAAATGGCTGTGAATTGACCAACCTAATGCTGTTAAGCACACTGAAGTTGTGTGTCTGCTGCTCTTTAGAACTTAGTTTGTCCTCCAAACTTCAGCTCACAAATTCTAGCTGCTAGAACAGCCCGTTCTGCTGTCATTCCCTTCTGCACTTGTCCAATTCAGCAGATATTTCCAACAAGAAATGATTACCTGCTGGCCCTGTTCAGCAAAGTACTCTTCTAAAAGGAAAGCTAAGCAGAATAATGGTCTCTGGAGGCAAAACAGAAGTGAGGACAAACATCTAACACTGACATTTCTTTCTGCATAGAAAAACTCAAAAATAAGATCTTGTACATTTTAACGTCTTTTCTTAAAGGCCTCTTTGGTTAAACTCATGCTCCTCTCTCCCCTCAATGAAGCAGATGCATGGATCAGGAAGCAGCTAAGGGCAAGGAGGCTCAATTCACACACAGAGTTCCACGCTCTCTGGTCCCTTCACCCCTCAGAAAGGAAGACTTTCGAAGGAATGGCTTCAAGCTGAGTTTTTGTCTGCCTCTCTGTGCAAAAGATAAAGCCTTTTCTGAAGAGAGATGGCTGGATGAAATAACCTCTAAAAATATCACTGTGGTGAATAAGGGCACAGAATAAAAAGAAATCCTAAGTTTCCTTTAGCATTCCTTTTTTTAGTACACATAACACCAATAACATAAAAAGGACCGCTCAGTGATGGTATATAAATAGCTCTGGCTGGAGCAAATTAGCTTTGCCTCAGCTTCTCCAGAGCTGAACCAATAAACTATCACGATTAAATTTTCACAGTTCAAATGCAAGTCCATTTAAACAAAGAGGCTTTACTTCTGCCAAAAACCCAATAAAGAAACAATATTTATGCTATACATATGCAATTATGGCTTATGAAAGACATTCACATTTTTCAACAGAAAGATCTACCACTTGAATGAAGTTGTTAAAGACCAAAGCTTATTTATTTACAATGACAGAGTTCTCAAATGAGAATTTTAACACTTCAAAAACTACTCCTATGATATTCTGCTCTGAGCAAATTCTCTATAGAATTTTAAATAAAACCTATTAGTACATTAGAGAGCTTTGGGGTTTTAAATACCTCCACTAGACAGAGTGAGAGGGTCACAAGATCAGTCATGATTTTTATAGCTCACATGCCCAACACAGAGCGATCGCTCTCACTGGGTGAGTGACTGCAGGCAGTGAGCAGACAGGAAGTGCAGAGGCCTCCACGCCGCACTAACCTCGGCTTCAGCGACAGCCCTGGTCCCGACGTGTATGTGGTCAGACGTTGGGCAAGTGCTGAACTTCTCTGGGAAAGTTTCATCTATAAAGTGGGGATGATTTCTACCTCATAAACTTGCTCTGTACTAGTATCACATGAATCAATGACCATAAGGAAACGAGCAGTTTCTGGCACACAGCACACATTTATAAAAATGTTAGCTCCCCATCTACTTTAATCTAAAAAGTTTTCAGGGTAAGAACAAAAAAAAACTAGGACTGAGGGAACAGCTCAGTGGTAGAGCATGTGCTCAGTATTAGGAATACTTCGTTATGTACATAAATGTGTACGCTCATACAGGCATTTCTGTAGACAAAACAAACTTCTCTGAAAGGCTACACTGAGAACGAGTTCACACAAACTTTTCTAAGGGTCTCACCGTAGTCCTGCACTCTGATCCATCAGTGCCGTGGGTATGCTGAGCATCGTCTCCTCCTCAGTGTATTTCCTTCGCCTGGCTTCCAGAACTCCACACTTGGTTTTCCTGCTGCTTAACTGCTCCTTCTCAGTATCTTTTGCTGGCTCTTCTTCTCTTCCCATATCTCTTAATATTAGAGCACCCCAGGGCTCAGTCCTTGTTCTTTTGTTCTGTTTAGATTCACTCCTTGCAATCCAATCTAGTCTCTGGCCAACTCCCAATATTTTACCTCCAGCCCAGCCCTGTGTCTTCAGACAACACACACACACAGATGTACTCTGTCCCTGACATCGCCATCCTGCTCTCCAGTCTATCTCAAACTCACTTTTCCCCACCACTGAACTCCTGATGCTCCCGAAGTCTAAGTGCTTCCCCCATAGTTAAAGGCTCTCCCATCCTCCTGTCTTCTCTCCTTCTCTTACACAATATATCCATCAGGAACTCTTGTTGGCTTAATCTTTAAAAAAGGCTCCTTCCCATTGTGTTCACAGAGCAAATCCCATATCACTACCTCCACATGGTCTCTGACCCCCTATTCTCTCTCATTTCCACAATGTTCCACCCTCAGATATGGATTATGAGGCTCCATGAAACTGAAGAGAACTAAAAGATCTCTAAATCACCAATATGCCACATGCTGGCTTGCTAAAAGGTCCACACCAATTCTCATGACTATAATGACCAAATCCCAGAAAGTAACTCTTTTAATAAATACTTCAATAAATATTCTAGAATTTTAATCAATATTCTGAAGTCTTTTAGAAACAGAAGTAGAATCAGATAGAAGTTGTTCTTACAAAGGCATAGTGAAATCAAATCCACAAGTTCAAGTAATTTTCCAAGGTGAAGTCATAGTAGAGCTAAGACCCACTGGCATCTGAAACGACGACAGGCAGACAAGATGACAGGTGTCCACACACACACACACACACACGGTCACCATCCGACATATGTCAGCTTCCTTCGGCTATAGCAATCTATGGCCATGATGTTACTTTTTAGAATTTTCAACACTAGTTTTCTTCTTATTGTGTAAAACTTTGGTCAAGTTTACTGAGATATAATTTGCACATAATAAAGTTGCAGGTGTCTCCTTTTCAGGTGTCCATGTCTATGAATTTTGCTACACATATACAGACATGAATTCACTTCCACTCTTAAGATACAAGATACTTTATCCTCCCCAAAAACCCCTTCCCACAGCCCTAGTTTCTGGGGCTGATCCATCCCTCTGTCCTCTATTTTTTGCCTTCTCTGGGACAGCATATAAATGACACCATAATACAGAGTCTTTTGAGTCCGGCTTCATTCTTTTATCATAAGGTATTTGAAAGTCATTATTTTGTTGCATATGTCAATAGTGCATTCGTTTTTATTGCTGACTATGGATGTACCATAGCCTGTTTATCTGTTCATCAACTGATAGATATCTGGGTTGTTTCCAGGTTTAGGCAATTATGAACAGAATTACTACAAACATTCATGTATAGATTTTTCATACATACAGAAACCTTCATTTCTCTGGAGTAAATAGCTAGAAGTGGAACGGCTGATTTATATGGTAAGTATATGTTTAACTTAATAAGAACTGCCAAAGTGTTTTCCAAGGTTGCTGAACCATTGTGCATTCCTACCAACAAGGTCTCAGTTTTACTCACTTGAGATCTTTGCTAACATTTAGTATTGTCAAGTTTATTTTACTTTAGCCATTCTAACAGGTGTGTAGTGTATCTCACAGTGGTTTTAATTTTCATCTCCCTAACAACTATTGAGTATCTTTTTCTCTATCACACAAATCTCGAGAAATGTACTGATGAGAAAAAGTAAACTACTTGCCCATGGACTAAATTAGTAGGAGAAAGATCATTGGGGTAAAACAAGGCACAAAAATTTTTAAATTTCTGTTATGTATTTCTCCTAAGTCTATCAGAGGATACATATGGTTTAAAATATGTACAGTACTATTAAAATACCTATAACTGCTAATAAGTGTTACAAAGTTTATATACATACAGAAGTCTCTAGCTTTGTCAGATAAGAGAAATCTGACCTGATAATACTATCATAAGTTTGTGTGGGTTTTTTTTTTTTTTGGTACCAAGGATCAAACTAGGGACCTTGTGCTTATGAGGCAGGCGGCAACACTACTGAGGTAAATCCCCAGCCCTGTCATAATTTTGGAATTGTCTTGAATTAAGCTAGGTTTCAGTGTTACAAAGTTTTGAAACGTAAGTATAAGTTTTCTCTTCAGAGTCAGCATAAGCAATGAGTTTAAATTCTAATGATGGCAAAGTAGAAATTTATTATGTGAGTATGACAAGGTGGCCAGCTTCTGGCCCAGTTCTTCTTTGTGTAACTGACATTCCACACCTTAACTTTGGGCTTCCAAAAAGTAAAAAGAAGAGCTATCTGTTTGTCTTTCAAGAGCCCCTAAAGTGACAACTAGTGAAAAATCACCTACAGAGGTCAAGTATGGCAGCACACACCTGTTAATCCTAGTACTCAGGGAAGCTAACGCAGAGGGATCACAAGTTTGAACACAATCTATGCAACTTAGCAACTTAGTGAGACCTTACCTCAAAACAAAAAATAAAAAAGGCCTGGAGTGTAGGTCAGTATGAAGGCCATGGGTTTAATCCCCAGCAGGAAGTGGGGGGGGGATAAATCACCTACAGTGATTTTAAATCTGAGAAAAGTTCCCTACATCATACCGGATAACTAAACTCCCAATGTGATAAACTAATAGGCAAAAACAGCAATCTTTTGGAGCACTGTTCTAGTCAAAAGTATTATTCTAAAAGAAAGGGAATGCTTACCTTTCTTTCTTTTAACAGCTTCTTATAACCAGTTGATCCAAGTGACAGCAAGGTAATAAGGACATCTAAAGAAGGGGAGGCGGATGCTCTTCCTGAAATAAGGAGGAACAGGTTACCCTTAGGAGGGTGTAGAGGAAGCTTTAGAAATTGCAATTTATCATGGCAGCCTGTGTACAAATGGGTCTTTGTTACTTTTTTCTGAAAAACAATTATTTACCTGGATACATTTTGCTGATTTCCTGAATGAAGGAATCATTAAAGCCAGCAATTATAGCGCCACCTACTGGAACCATAAAATTTTTGTCCAAACTCTGAACAAAAGCATCTATTCTACCAACTCGAGCCCCCTAGAATCAAATGACACGTAATATTACATATTAGTTCCCAGAAGGATAAATAACTGCTGTTAACAAATAAGCACCAATTAAAAAATGATAAGTATGTAAGATGATGGCTGTTAGTATGACTTATTTCACAACACATACATATTTCAAAACATACTGTACAATGTAAATATATACAATCATAATTTTTAAAATGAGTAAAAACAATGTATGGAAATAAAAAACAGTCCTCTCATTTTTACTGTCTTTGTGATCGTGGTTTAAGTAGTAAACCAAGTTCCTAAATGGTGTGCCTTATAAGCAGAATAGAGCGCTTCATAGATTGCAACTGCTTTCACACATGAATCATTCAATCCTTACAACAATACTGGGAAACTGAAGGGTTTTATTTATCTGTTCAAGTGGAAACTGTACAGAAGCAGAACTTTACATCTTAAAACTCAATAGAGAATGAACTCCTCTCATGCCACTTATCTGTGACCCTTTACCATGAATGTCAACAGTGGGTCCAATAACCACGGAGCAGTGCTAAACCCGCTCTGTGAGCTCAACAGTGGCCAGTGCAATCTAATGGACTGTGTCCACCCAAGCTGCCAAAGCTAGTTAGACATTTAAGTGCCTCTCTTTGATGCTTGCACAATCTACTAATTTATGACCACTTTAAGCAACTAGCTTCTGCTCCAACTACTGCTCAAATAAAAAAAAATTTTTTTTTGGAAAACCAAAATTTTATTTTCAACATCAACTAATGAAAATTTTATTTGTATATTCTTGGCAATTCCAAAAGTAATGTTTCTACATACCTCATGTTCCCTAATATTATAGTCTTAGATGATCTCATTCCACTACAAATGAATTTCAAATGAAAATCTAATACTCTGGTGAAAAACTGAATACTTTTACCAACTGCAAATGTATAACTAAATTTTGGTTCCCATCCAACATAGTCTGTGACCTTCTGGCTAATGTGTTTCAATTTTCTCCTCTTAAAAACAGAGATACTATCTAAATTTCAACTAAGATAGTTTTTTTCCTTATCTGCAGCCACAGATTTTCAATCTGTATTCACAATCTACATTCCTATTAATATTATAACCACATCTGACTTTCATTTTCACACTTTCTTTCTGCCTCTGTATCTCAGGGAGAATGGAAGGCGCAGATAGCTGGTCTAATCTGAGAGACCAGATCCAGGCAACAGGTAGTAGCAGCAAAAGCACGGAAGGGGTGCGACTACTCAGAGGCCATCTAATAGTGGGGCCATTTAAGTCTTAACCTTCCGTGTTATTCTCCCTATTTCCAATAAACTATGGTCAGAAAACCCCATCATATTACGAGAAAACAGAAAAGAGCACCTAAGACAAATAAATAACCACATTTTATGGAGCATGTGAAAAGAAAGTGGCACAGTAGTCAGAGCCGCCTTGATACTGGCAGGCAAGCACTGTCCAAGGCCTCCTAGCAGAAGCACAAGCCTAAGCCAAGAGCTGGAGTGGTAAGAGAAGAATCAGTGTGCCGAACTCAGCTAGAACCCTTTCATCAATAGAACACAGGACGACTCAAAAGGTAGCACACCCTGGGCAAGAAAACAAGCAAGTCTAGCCAATGGTGGCACAGAGCTGTAATGTCAGTACTTGGGAGGCTGATGCAGGAGGGCTGAAAGTTCAAGACCCACCTGGACAACTTAGTGTTTCAAAATAAAAAGGGGTGGGATGTAACTCAGTATAAAGGCCTGGGGAGGTGGGAGAATATGAATATGAGTATGAACGAACTGGCAGGCCAGACCTAATCTCAGGAATAGTACAAGGATCTCATTCCCCACATTAATGTCTACTAACGAGGGAAAAACCACTAGGACGGAAGAGCTGAAGTAGACAAGAAATACAGGAGCATGGTCTACAAAGCCAGGAATGCTATTTTATCAGTTTATTCATCACTGTTTTATTCAAAGAACAAACAGGTGAGTACCTGTCATATGCCTAGGTTCTGGAGAAGGCAACAATTAATAAAACAAATATAGTGGTACCTCACTTCATGAACTTAATTTATTCTATGATTTTGGAGGATGGCCACGTTTGTGTTTATGTGGGAAAGATGGCTGTGGTTGTGTTTGTCATTGGCTGCAAGGTTTGCAAAAAAGAACAAAATTCTCTCAAATGCTTCTGTTTGTGAACCAAACTGTTTGCAAACAAAAGTATTTCATGAAATGAGGTACCACTGTAATTGTTCATATAATTACGGCCAGAATTTACTGAGCACTTACCACGTGCTAGGTACTGTTCTAACTTATATGCAAAACACATTTAATCTTCACAATAATGATATGAAGTAAATGCTACCAAAATACCTAATTTAAGGATGACAATATTGAGGCATAGTGAAATTAAAGCTCCATGCCCAAGATGAGCTGGTATTCAAACCCAGGCAGTTAAAGCACCTTGCTGAGGATTACCGAGCAATCAATGACACAGAAGGGACCAAAATCTAGATAAAGTATTTTTTGAAGAGTTCTTCCTGGATTGCACTATCTAACCTGACACCTCTCCCTCCCAAACACCAGAGTGCTCATGTAAAGACCTGACATTTTTACTGCACTACTTCCAAAAATAGAATGCTATGAGGGAAGGACTGTGATGTATTCACAACAGCATGCCCAGCACATATCCCACTATCAGACACACCAGTGGGAATCCAACAATATTTGCTGAATGAGTTGATAATCAGGTCTAAGAATAAGTACTCGTAACACTGACTTTTCTCAAATTCTTAATAAGCAAAGTTACTGCTTCCGACACTTTCGGAGCTTTACCATCCACTCTAATCCTATACACCTGTTTTTATAGCTCTACTGCTTCTCTCTCCATTAATGTGTTCTAATGCCCATGAGTCTCCCAAATTAGTTGTTTTAGTAAATACAAACAGCAGTACTGGCAAGACTGCATGTGCACAGCCGAATACCCTACCCGCCCACATTTAAATCATTTGGGGGCATTCTCTAAAAAACTTTCTAAAATTCTGGAGTATTTTAGTTATAGTTCTTTCTCTACCCCTTGTTTGATTATTGCAATACAATTTTCTCAACAATAAACTTGCAATTTTAATAGTTTGCTTTTTAAGGAAAATATGGGACTCTGGAGTCACACTGAGCTAGATGGGCTATTATACAGCTCCAGAACCTTGAGCAAGTCACTTAGCCCCACTGAAATAGTTTCTTCATGTGTAGAATGAGAAGAGTAAAGAGTACTTCTGGAATCACTAGGATTAAGTTAAGAAACTTTAAAAGCCTAGCAGGATGCCTACCACCCATAATACTAACTACTAAGAACTACACAAGTTAGGGTGACTTTAATTACTTAGAAACAGCAACCAGCATTCAACAAAACCAATGTATGTGGTTTAAAGCAACCGTGCCACAATTTCTTTTCATGAAGACTAATGTGAGGAAAACAATGTTTTTATACTGCTTTTTGTCCTTTTGAAGAATGCCAGTTTTAGAAGTAATACAATATATGCAGCAAAAATGGGAATTTAAAATTAATTTGCTCAACTTACGGTTTTATTTTTCTAGTTAATATGTTAGTAAAACGTCTCATGGACACAAAGAGGTGATGACAAAGTGGGATTCTATCATCGCAAGTCCAAGGGCACCTTTCCTATCATATGCTGGAGCTCACTGGCTTCAGTCTTAATCTCCTCAACTACACCACCAAATTGTCTAGTATTCCAAAATACATCGTGAGCACCCAAACACTGGGAATTTCTAGATTAAGTGATGGCTTAGTAATTGCCAAGAAATATTACAAAGATCATTATGAAGACTTTATAGGCATGCAGAGAATTTAAAATATTTAATGTTAACTGTATACAGTCATTATAACTATGTAAAAATAATGTATGCATTTAACATGTTCACAATGGGGCCATAACTTGTGTTTCACTGCTGGGTGGCTTGAACCACTAAGTGGTACATGCATGACTGTCCCACTGAGTGGCTTTTTATGAATTTTATTAGTAAAAAGAGTGATAAAAGTGATTAGAGCTGTTTGCAGCACCAATGGTTCAAGCGTACAGTTGTGTATGTACCACCAGAGGTTCAAGCCAGAGGGAATACGTGAAAAAAAGAAAACATGGATACATAAATCATTAAAGGCATCTGGTAGGGTAAGATGGTTGTAATCTACATCTTTATTTTTCCAAACTTTTAGTCATGCTGATAAGCATTTCAAAAGAACTAAGCCTACTAAAAATTAAAGAGGAAGAGAAAAGCAAGGTGAAGAAACAATAAAAAAACTGAAATAAAATTTAAGATCTCCAGTATGAAACTGTACACTCTTTCTTTGCTACCACAGAAATTAGGTATAATCTAGTCTCAAACTGTGAGGAAGCCTTAATACATTAAGGAATAATGAAAAGGATACCAAGGAAATGGTGAGCAGTCTTTACAGGTTTTAAGAAATTCTAATATACCAGGCCTATAACACACTCCATCTCTGGACTTAGGTTACATAAACTAATCAATTTCCCAAGTGGTTAAGCCAATCTGAGTTGAATTTCTGTCTCTTGCAGCCAACAACATCCTGACTGATACAAACTCTGAGTAAAAAAATTAAGTAAATCAGCTGTTACTGTCATATAAGCACACATATCAAAGATGAAATTATTGCATGAAAATGATAAAAGCAACACTGAATAGGATCTACCAGGTTCACAGATAATCTCTGAATAACTTATATCCACATAACAAAAATCACGGATCCCCAAACTGAATATACATATTAATATCATTGTACACACAATGTCTATATCATACACAAATAAATAAACATAATATTTCACTTACTTCATTCAGTAACCAGTTTATTGAGTGTCAATTATGTCTTAAGTACTATCTTAAGTATTGAGAGGCTAACAGTGAATAAATAAAAAGTTCTAGCTCTAAGAGAACATTAATCCTACCTACTATCAATAACTAAATACTATGGAAATAAAAATCAAGGGACCAGGGCCAGGGATATAGCTCAGCAGCACCATGCCTTCTTGGCAAGTGCCAGGTCCTGAGTTTGACCAGGACAAAAAAAAAAAGCAAGAGGCCACAAACCTTAAGAAGCATCATTATCTGCAGATAAGATGAAATACTGCCAGTTAGCAATGTATGACATGACCAACTGTTAAGACATTCAAATTTCAGGGATGTCATAATGTGAAAAAAATGGGCCCATTAAGATCCAATATGGTAAAACAGGGAAGGCAAGAATAGCAAGAGAGGGGAGTTATTCTAGACAAGGTGCCTGGAAAAGTCTCTGTGAGGGGAGAAGCCACGCCACGCTCCACAAGAGCAAAACAGCGAAAAAGGCAAGCAAAGACACCGAGAGCAAAGGCCTGGAAGTCTGCACAGTTGCGGGTGGTGGAGGCGCAGAAAGGAGTGAGAGAGGCTGGAGGAGAGCAGATGACACAGTGCAACAGGAACACTGAGAAGCAGCAGAGATTTCAACACACTACGTCTTGCAGGCCACAGCAAATTTTCAAAATTAGAACACAGAAGAGATGACCAGGACCTAGCTGACGCTTACAAAACAAAAAAAAGTCTGCCAGCTCCATAGTCAGATGTTAGAATGTTTATAAAGTCCTTTCCAGTCTAGGATAAGGTAAAACAATTTCTTAAATACAGAATAAAATAATCAATATAGTTTTTAAAATACTATAATCTATTAGAAAAGTGAAGATCCTGCTAAAGAAACAGTCTCAAAAAATTAAAAGCTCTACTGAAATATTACTATATTGATTCTGGTCTACCAAAGCCATTACCAATTATTTCCATAACTCCAAGAAATCATTAATGACTTTTGCTGTGATAGTATTGGATGCAAGTTTCTAACACTCCCTGAAATAGAAAAAGCTGGGTAACTGTTTTCACTACATTAGGTTGTGAGAAAAATAACCTCAAAATATGTTAAAATCTACTTTTCTTGACATCTTGTTAAACTCTTACCTGCTGAATGAGGTGCATGCACTTTGAAGACTGTACTCCGTAAGCATTGTTGACTATATGTGGAATGCCGTAATTAGCACAAATCACAGCCAGTTCTTCTATTCTATAAACATAAATATTCAACAGAAAGACACACTCATGCTGTGCTTTGTAAATTACAATGTGAGAATTGTTTTTAAGAAATGTGAGAGTCAACCATAATGTACGTGGGGGGGCAGACATGACAAACTAAAATTTTAGTTTACTTGTCTGTAGGATCTTAACATATAATTCATCAGCTTGGAAATACATAGCAAGCACTATAAGGAAATCTAAAAAGCTTATAAATTAATATTACCAATAAATGAAAAGATATTTATTTATAAAATTGTACATAGTAACTTAAATTATTTCAAAACCTCCTATTAATAAAGCCAGAAGGAGACTATTTATAATGACTCCTCACAAGGTGGGATGCTCTTCTTTTTTTGCAACTCAATCAATTTATTTTTTAAAAATTTTACTGGTATATATTTGCCATACATAATACTCACATTCATCATAGGGAATTTGTACCTGTACAAAATATGTCTTCTCACTTCCCTCCCTTCCCTTCAACCATTATTCCTTTCCTCATTTACAAAAGCTTTGTTTCCATTTTTCCCTTCCGTTTTTTAAAAAATTCCTTTCCCGTCCTTCCTCCTTCCCCTTCCTTTGTTCTCCTTCTCACTTGAACATGTTCTTCCTGCTTCTCAGTATCTTCCATTTTGCTCCATATCTACCCTTTGGTTTCTCACACAAGAGAAACAATGTGACATTTAAACGTGTGTGTCTGATTGGGATGCTCTTTTTTAACACCTTTGGTTGCTTACCATACTAACGCTAGTAGCTTCAAAACAATTAGTATATCTGGAAATCTTAAATCTAACATTAAACACCTCATAAAATAAAAAAAATGTATTTTCAAAGAGAATAACGTATTAAAGCTACAAAACATAAAAATGCCTCAGTATCAAAATAACACATTTTTATGGAAACAAAGTCTTTGTAAATAGGGAAGGGTGGATGGGGTGAAGGGAGGGCAGGGAAATGGGGAAAAACCAAGATACATGGTGTAAAAGTACAAGATCCCAATGATGAATGCAATTGTACTGTATACCTACAATGTCCCAATAAAATTAATGGGAAAAAAAACACCACATATCACAACAACCTGGATACTAAAGAATCTTAAATAGTTGCTGGATTTAAATCTACACTTATTCACTGTTATTTCTTCATTTTACACATCTCCTATTAAGACAATTTGAGTCTTAACATTATGCAAAGGTAATAAATCTCAGTTACAACATAATACATAAAGGTTCCTGCATGAAACAAAATATTCCTTCTGACAGAGACTATAATAGAAATGTCTTCACACTATGAAGCTAAAACTAAATCCAATGGTTTAATAACTTCTTAAGTTTTATTTACAATATAAAACCTGGAAGGAAATCATTTTTATATGATAAAAGTTCTACTCTAAAAGGATGTATTTCAAATATACATTATGTTTTTATTGCTAAATTAGGCAAGATAGTTTTTTAGTAGAAGTGAATTAGTATGTTTTCAAACTATAAATAGGAATTGGATTATTGTGTTCATCTGCCAGTTTTCAACTCATTTCCTTGAAGTTTTATGGATTTAAAAACTCGTTTTATCATTCAGCCTTACAAATCAGTACAAAAATTTCTTTTGTCAGGAATTGGATATCTGTAGCAAAATTAACCTTCTGGGTTACACACACACATTTTCTTCCTAAGATAGAAGGCACTTTCACATGTGTGTGATAATGACATTATTCCTTAAAAAGGAACTACTTTAAAATATAAGGTACCATAATAATATTGCAGTTCATTTTTTAAAAAAATCACTTGTGAGTAGTTTTAAACAATCTGAATTGACCAACTACGTTAATAGGATATTTTTAAGGTATTAGAGGCAAAAGACAAGCAGAAAACTATTTTCCATGTGAATCAAATTATATTCTAATTGGGCTGGGGATTTGGCTCACTGGTTCTGCCTGCCTCACAAGTGCAAGGTCCTGAGTTCAATTCCTGGTACCAAACACACACACACACAAAATATAAACAATCTGAATTGACCAACTACGTTAATAGGATATTTTTAAGGTATTAGAGGCAAAAGACAAGCAGAAAACTATTTTCCATGTGAATCAAATTATATTCTAATTGGGCTGGGGATTTGGCTCACTGGTTCTGCCTGCCTCACAAGTGCAAGGTCCTGAGTTCAATTCCTGGTACCAAACACACACACACACAAAATATATAACAAGTAGACTTCCTGTAAAACACTCTCCATATAATTAATAATAACAAAATATGTACTATATTCATTAAAATAAAGACTATGAAGAAATTACATTGGTACAAAGAAAACATAGTTTTTAAACTTAATAAAGTCAGAAATTGAAACTTATTACTAACAGTGTATCACCAGTTTCCTAAACTTCACTCTTACCCGAAACATCCATCACCTAACACTGCTAAAAAGTGAAAAAAAGAGAATTCTGGTGATAAAAAACCTATTTAGGCTGAGCATGGTGGCACATGCCTATGATCCCAGCACTCAAGAGGCAGAGGCAAGAGGTTGTGAGGTCAGCCTAGGCTTAATGGTGAGTTCAAGGTCAGCCTGAACTGCACAGCAAGAACCCGTCTCAAACAAGAAAAAAAAAAAGCCTATATATTTTTCTAAGGCAGACAGTACATATATCAAGTATACTATAAGCACTGAAAAAATTAGTCAAAATGAAACAAAAATAGAACTCTCCCACGGATAAATATCCACTTAACACAATCCGCTGCTACTAGAAATGTAATTTATTTCTAGTATATTAAAATTTTTCTACATATCAAATCAAAGAACAAACAGATATTTAATACAAATTATAAATGACTGATAAGTAATGAAAAACCATATATAAAATATACAAAATAAAATCCTAAATTTTACAGAATTTACAGACTTATAAATGTAGCAAGGTAAATTTTCAAGAGTATGATTTTTAAATTACCTTTTAAAACCTGTCTGTAATAAAAGTTAATATGAATTCATTATTGTCAAACAATACAATTCTATGAAAACCAAAACATAACTGATACAGGAAAAGTATAAAGCCAATATATTCAAAATGTTAAAAACAAAATCAGAGGTGCTATCAAACACAGAAATTGGCATTAATAGACTTAGTCCCTATTATATATTCAGAATAAAAATTTATGGCTATCCGTTAGAAAAATAAACATTGGCTTTTTTCCCTCTTTAATTTTTATCTTCTGAAATATTTATATTATCTTCAAAATGCAGAAAACCACTGTACACCTAGTAAATATCTGAATTAATCTTCTATTTAAATGAAATTCAAAGGAGAGTAAATAATCGTAAATGTTTCTATTCAAAACCTGCCAAAGCTGAGTTTCTACATATGAAAAATCATAGTGAAGACAGTAATCAATGAAAACAACTAAGCCCACCATTTAAATGAGAAAGAAACTTCCATTAAATGAAAAAGATTCTCAGAGACTGGAAAGAGGATAAAGAGCAAGAAAACAGTTTGCATCTATTCAACTGTAACAGGACCCCTACCTCCCTATTCGTTATTTCTCCTCCTTCTTCACCAAATATTTATATCCCCACTATGCTATTTCTCCACAAGCCCAATCTGTTCTCTTAGGGCAGTGCACTCACTATTTACTACCAAATGTTAAGTAAGCATATCTGAGAACTAGTATCACGTTTTACTCAAGAGGCCGATGAGCCTGAGAGATGACTCACTATTTGCAAATCACTTACTTATCGGGCACTCGTGGGGCGATACAGGACGTGGTGGAGTGAACACACAGAACAGAGTCGGGCCCCAGTTCCTGCACTTTGGCCTCCACTGCTTTCAGGTCCGTGCGTAGCTCGTCCCCTTCTAAACAGTTTTCTATCACCACCGGCTCAAAACCTAGTCAAGCCAACCAGAAAGTGGAATGTCACTAAAATAAGGAAACCAAAATAAGGGCAAATCAGGGAATTCTAGGAAGTCGTGCTATTCCACACCAGAACTTTAAATATTTGCTTGGATGAGCCTTCCTCTAGTAACAAAGACCTAGTTCAGTGTACTGGCATTAGTCAAGCAGTCAAAAAATGTGAAGGTCAGGCCAGGGATTTAGCTCAGGGGTTCTGCCACCTGCCTTGCAAGCACAAAGACCCTAGTTCGATCCCTAGTACCAAAAGGAAAAAAAGAAACGTGAAGGTCAACTTGAAGATTACACCACAGCTCTTTTTAACATTGCAATATGACATGCCGGGCATAGTGGTGCATGCCTATAATCCCAGCACAGGGACGCAGAGGCAGGAGGACTGCTGTGAGTTCAAGACCAGCCTGGGCTACATAGTGAGTTCCATGTCAGTCTCAACTATATAGTGAGACCTTGTCTCAAAAAACCAAAAAATAAAATAAAATAAAATAAATTGCAATATGACAAAAAAAATCTGGAAAGGAAAACAGAAATTAAATAGATATCTATGGAAATAATGCAGACACTGATAACAAAAAGGATGATGAATCCAGTTCAATTTCAGTCCACAGAAAATTAGGTTTGCTCATCCTCAGGTAATATTTTAGTTTTATACTAGTACTCACTTTAAGAGATGAACATAAACAATAATATAATTCAAATACTGAAACAAATCACAATCATGAACTTAATGGTTTACCTCTGAAGAAATCTTTAATTTCAGTAGCCTGAGGATTACCTGTCTTCAACTGTAGTACCATAACTTGTACATAAATATCTCCCCACATAAAATAATTTTATAATCTTTAACAATAAATATTTAAATATCCATAAACTTGAAAGTTGGATAAAATAATATATACACTGAATTTTATATCATGTACACTGTATCATAATTAAAAAAAAAAGAAATAAGAAATAGATTTAGCTAGCTCTATAAAAAATTTGAATTTTCCCATGTGGGATATTTAAAATACTGCATGTACTACTTATCTTCTTTTACCTGCGGTGATCATGGATTTAAAGCAGGACTTCTGGTCTATTCGTGGCCAAATGATATACTTTGCTTTTGGTCTTTTGTGTCTTAATGTTAAAAAACACAGGGTTAGACTCATACCAGTCGCCATAGGAACTACAAAGCAATTGGTCACTGCAGGAACACCTGTGAATAAGAAAATATAAATTAGTGATGCAATTTTTAAAAAATCAGCATTCTTGGAGAAAGGATAAAAGGTTTTGTCAAATAATAGAAGTTACAGCCCAAACATTTCTTTTTCTGTACTCATTCTCAAGAGATGCATTCTCTGGGATTGTGGCTTATGTATATTCATTTTACTACATCTTGTTTTGCTCTAATTATTCCAAAACACCTTCTATATGTATGCCCTTTAAAAGAGCCACTAATCTTTTTAGAAACAAGCATTAATAGAAATTAGAGCCAGGCATGGTGACACACGTCTGTAATCCTAGCACTCGGAAGGCTGAGGCAGAAGAAATGCCATGAATTCAAGACCAGACTGGACTATATAGCAAGATCTTGTCTCAGAAAAACAAAAGCAAAAGAAAGAAGAAATTAGGCAAAGATGCGTTGTATGGTCACCAAATATTACATATTATGATTAAGATGGAACATACCAGCCAACTTTATGATGTCCAGGACCAAAGAATTGGTAATTTTGTTCAAAAGGCTAGAGCCTGCAGCTTTCGGCTGCACAGCAGAAATATCACCAGACCGTCCAATGCCATGAATGAGCCTATGCAAAATAAAGGGCCAAAAACTAGCAAATGCTTTCAGTGTTTTAAGTAATCAAATATACAACTATACAAATACAACTACCAAAATTAACACCAGAGACTCTATTTGGCTGATTTATATATACTTCATCAACTATTAATAATGTGAAAATATCCTATTTAAATTGAAATAGCATCATCAATTATGCTGTGGTCCACAGACAGCAGCCTCCAATTCCTTTCTTCCTCTCTATGCCCACACCAAGAGTTGTAGTCTAATTCCACTCTAACTGAATCTGGGCTCGCCTTAGTAACTTGCTTGGCCACGAAGAATGTAACAAAGTGATTGCCCAGAACCTCTAAGCTAGGTCCTGAGAAGCACTAAATTTCCACAAGCTCTTGAAAAGCATGCTTCTCAAAACCCAGGTGCCATGCTAAGAAGACCCCATGTCAAAGAGCTAAGCCATCTAAGCTCCTGAGCATGTATGTTGGTCATCTGGAATAAACTGCCCACTTGAACCTGCACATGACTAAACTGAACCACAATTACACCAGAAACCTAAAACAATACACTGTTGAGCTCAGTAAACACATAGAACTATGAGAAACAGTAATGCAGGCCGTGATCAAAACACAGAATGTTTCAATATTAGAGTAAAAGACACTTTGCCATTAATACCCCTCAAAATATTCCTTCTGCTTTTTTTAAAGCCTTTTTAAAAATTAAATTTATTGGTATATTTTAGATATGCATTAGTTACATTCATCATTGGGATTTTGTACCTTTACATGATGTATCTTGGTTCTTACTTTTTTCCCCATTCCACTGCTCTTCCTTTATCCCCTCCACCTTTCCCTATTTACAAAGACTTTGTTTCCATTTTTTCCTTTTCTCTTCCCTATTTACAAAAACTTTGTTTCCAATTTTCCCTTTTCTCCTGTTTTTTTCTTTTCCTTTATTTCCTTTTCCCTACCCCTCCCACTTCCCCTACTCCTTTAGACCTTTTCTTCCTATTTCAATTAGCAGTTATACATTTCAATCCTTATTTACACTTTCAGTATTCCTTCTTTCTTTGAACACACTTATTCCATCATTTCTATTCCTTTATGAAGCTGTTCTAGTTCTTTTTTGAGTGTCTTTATACAGTATGATCAAAAATACAGTGAATGTTGCTGCATAAAACCCAAGAGAAAGACAGGCTTACAAAAATATTATGGTGTCTTCACCTTATTCTTTAGATCCTGCCGAAATGCAAAGTGTCAATGAAAGGTAAATGTTTTCAATCAATTCAGGACATTGAGACAGTTGTGACAACACAACTAAAGACACTTATAAAAGAGGACTTCGAGAGATGTTCAGCAGAAGAACAATGGGCTAAGTGGGTCTAAAGCCAAGGGGAGAATTTTGAGGGGTGCTATTGGCAGTGTATCTTTTACTGTAATACATTTTTAAAATTTTTTAAACTTTCACTGATTTTTCAATCATATCTCATAAATTATTTTTTAAGCCATTAAGTTTTGGAGAGGTTTGCTATGCAATAAAAAATTGGAAAATAGACAACATTAAATATTTTTATTTCATTTTCTCCTGACCAGAGCAGTGGGCTAAATTCCCAAGAGGATGAGCTGATGTTTAAAAAAAAATGCACTAATATGTTAAGAACTATATACTTCATGAAAATTAATGTGTGAATTCACTCACTTTAAATTAACAGCGTTATACATACATTATATATACCTTTAAATGTTTCAAAACAAAAAATCCTTTGTAATCTGAAATAACCTATAATTTACAGTCAATTAAACCTGAAATTCTTTATAATGGGATTATGACAGAACACTAGGTTACACTTCCTTACCACTAAAACCTCATGAACAAAGCCTTTTTAAAACATATTATCAACTATGTTAACCACGTCATTGTTAAACACCGAGTCTTCAACCAATTTATACATTCATTATCATTACTTTGGAACACAGTGTTTCAATTATGCCTAGGAAAATTTCAGAAATGTTTAGAGTATTTAAAGAATTTATATCTCACAGGAAGACAAATAAATAAATGATCATATCCAGAACTATTATCAATTAATAAGTAAATGGTAATCAGAATTGATAAAAAGCTTTCTGAAATACAAAAGAAAAAAGTGACTTAATAATCAAACATGACTTTCCTATGTGTACTGTAACTAAATTGTTAATTAGAATTGATGGAAAGCTTTTTGAAATAATTGAAAAGAAAAATGTGATTTAAATGTTTCCTGTATCTATCACAATAAAAAGCAGTACATATAAAATCGGACTTTGCTTAGATACAGATGAACCGTACTTTATTAAAATCTTAACTATAAATCATTCTCCAAGAAAAACTTAAATGTGGGCTGGGGTGTAAGAAGAGTACTTGTTAGTATGCGTGCGGCCCTGGGTTCAATCTCTAGTACAGAGAAGAAAGGGGGAAGAGGGTTTGTAATATTAGAAAAAAAATATCAAAAACTATAAGCAACAATAATATACTTTAAACTTGTTCAACCAAACAGGTTTCTTAGGTTAAACGTTCTGGTTTTTTTTCCCAAGTCTCTATATTTTATTTATTGTAGTCTTGTACGCCTAATATAAATGTTGCCCTTTATTTCATTCATCTTTATTTTTTAATCATGAACTAAGTTTATTGGTACAATTTAGATATACATAAGGATAACATTCATCATATGGAATTTGTACCTGTACATGATATATCTTGATTCTTATTTTTTCCATTCTCCCCTCCCCTCCCCCTTACCCTTCTTTCCCTTATTTTTACAAGACCTTTGTTTCCATTTTCTTTCTTTTCTCGTTTTTTTCTTTTCCTTTCCCCCTCCCTTGTTCCCCTCCTCATTTGAACATTTTCTATCTATTTCACAATATCTATTCTACATTTTGAACCTTATTCTCATCAGAACATACAGCCTGCGCTGTTAACTTCCCAGAAGCTCACAGGGTAACCAGCATGTATTAGAACTTGTACTCTATTGTATCTGAAAAGCACCTGTATTTGGTTTACATACCCATGTAAACGGACAATTTTATCAATAAGATCAATAATGTCACCATTATTTTACCCCCCAAGAGGAAAAAATAAATGTTTTCATCTTTCCTTGGGGAAAAAAATACCTGTAATGACGTCGAGCAACTAACGCAGATGCCACTCTCCCTTCCCTTTCGCCCACACCACAATTGCCCAAGAAATTGTTGCTATCCATGATTGCAAGTTCATGTAAAAAGAGCTCAAGCGTACTTTCATCCCAACCATCCTCTGGACACTTGCCCTTTAAAGGAAGAAACAAAAGTTTGTAATTATATACAAGAAATCCTACGTCGATATATTTTAAAACTATTAAAATGTGTATCCTGCCATGTTCCTTGTTTTCTAGAAGTCACACGTAAATCCAGCAGTAGGAAGAAACCTCGACTTGGCGAGACATTCTCATTACCTTTGATCTTAACTACCTGCAAATTGCGAGGCATGGGAATAAAAGAATTCGCTAAGGTTTACTCGGACTTTCAAATTTCATTAAACGAGAGAGACACCGCGGCCAACGTGAAGATTCAAGGAGTTCTAAGCAGGGTTTGTTAAACGGCGGTGAAATTAAAAGGAAGGCCGGCAGGAGCAAGACCTGTGAAGTTCGGAGGAAACACCAAGGTTCAAGTTGATTCGCCGTGCTTTCCGTCCCGAGTTCCCGACTACCGCCAGCGGTTGAAGGATAGGAACCTTGCCCTTTCAGCAAACAAGTGTAAGCAAGCCGTGGACTTTACCTCCTTTCTACAATCCAAACATGGAGAAGGGGGACGCCAAACCCCACCCCTAAGAACTCCCTCTGGGTTTCCCTGGCTTTGGCGAAGCCGAGAAAGAAGCGCGAGCCAAGGTGCGACAGTCTGGAGCAATAGTCTCAAACAGCACAGGAAGCGCCGAGGAGGACCCAGCGCTAAGCCGGGGCGCTGGGCGGAGCCTCGGGGCCGCGGTGGCTGGGGAGGGGACACCTCGGTACCTTCTCCAGAAGTTGCAGTACGAGGTGCTCGTGCGTGCGGCGGGCCTCACAGCCCTGTCGCACATAAGCCGGCGACACCAGCCGCTCGCCCGCAGCGAAGGTGTAGCGGTTCATGGTAGCTCTAGTGCCCGCGGATAAAGTAGAGACGCACACACGACGGAACCAGTAAGTAACTCGCCGCCGGGACGGTACGGCAGGGCCTAAGGTCAAAACACATAAAAGCAGAAACCAACGCTATCCACTCTTGCACATGCGCAGACTACATTAGCTCGGGCTCCAGGAAGAAGCTAGTGTTTGAGCATGCGCAAGTGAGTGCGCTTTTAGCCGGCGTCCGACCAAAGACAAGGGAGTAGTGAAGTAAACCCCACCTCGCTACAACTGATTGGTCTCCTTAAACCAGGGTTTCTGAGGCTAAACTGAGACTTCAAGGACTATGCCCTTGTGTGGAAGAATTGAGGAGACCGAAGTTCATGAGTTTCTCAAGTAAGGAAATGCCCTGAGTTGCTGTGTTCTAGTGCTGTTGATTGGCTGAAATCTATGCAGAATCTGTGTATTAGCCTTACTGTTAAATTCCAGAACCTTCCATCTGTGCCTTCATATGTTTCAACATTTACTACACACCATTCCTTTTCTCCTTTGCACTACAGAACTTTTAGCCATAACACTCATCACCAACCACCTGACATCTCTCTCCCTCTCTCTCTCTCCCTCTCTCTCTCTCTCCCACCCTCTCTCCTCCCCCTCCTCCTCCTCCTCCTCCTCTCTCTCACACACACACTCACACACAATGAAGGCAAATTTCTGAAGGTAGAGCTTTAATTTGTGTTGTAGAACTCTGAAACACCTAAAACTATCCAGAAGGCAGAAGCCAAAAAAAAAAAAAATATGGAATTAATGAATTACTTTGACCATTGCACAACCTGGTGGTAAGTGTTGGAGATAGAGAAATAAGTAAGGATCCGACCTTCACTTTTCTTGCACTCTTCACTGTAGGTGAGCCTACCCCAATCCCTGGCATTGCCCTCACGTGGTGCTGTGCTGGAGGCCATTTGCAATAGTTCACACTTGATTGCAAGAGCTGATCAAATGATTGGTAGATTTGTGAACTAGTTTTTAAACACAGCTACTTTTAAAATTAAATTGCACAAGCTTACACAATTGTTAAAAGCAAAAATAATACTCAAAATCCATCACTTCCTTTTAGTACATTTTATTATTATCGATGCTCTGGATTTTTTTTTTTTAATCTATTGTGTCTGTCTGGTGGAAATGCATGGTGTCCTTCTGCATATGTCTTCCCAACTCAACTCCCTTTGGTGTGTTACCACGTTGGTAGCTTGACATTAACCCTGAAGAGAGTGTTTTCATCACAGAAATCAGCTAATACTACAAAGCACAAGTGAACAACAAAGAGGTTATCTATTGAAGTTCCAGAGCGCTCTTTGTTCAGAATCAAGTTGTGTACTCTAGATAGGCCTTTACTTTCTCCATTATTTTTTACATGTACCTTAGTTAAGCATCTTAACACTAGACCTGATATGCTGTGGCCTTAACAGTTTACTAACAGAAAAAATGATTAGAGCCTGGGAGTAGATATATCCAAATATCCCTAAAGACAGAGCAAAGGAAACACTCAGAGTGTACAAGTGTAACTGAAAGCCTTCTAGTCAAAATGTTTGAACACTCCGGTTTCACCAGTGAAGAAATCAAATGGATGAGGATTTTTTTCAAAGCTTCAGGACAAGGAACAAATGTTTGATTCTTGCTTCATGTAGTACCTAACCCAAATACCATCTTGCTACCAATTCTGCTTGAAGCCACTTGCTTCACTGTAGTGTATCTTTGCACTGCCCTTTTTAGTGTATTTCTTTATCACACCCAGGTCCATTGATATCTTTCAAACTGCTGGACAGGATAATAATTTATCTAGACAGCCATACTCCTGGGGTTTATGGATGTCCTATCTATTTTTCCCAGTTCCACAAGCAAGTCCTGAAAGACATAGAAATTTCTTTTATAATTCTGATTTGATACAATATGTAGATGATTCCCTGCTTTACTCGTGGAACAAGAAGTTTGTTTAAAAAATAATTTCATTTACCTGCTTTCGGCCTTAGAAAAGGGACATAAAGGGCAAAGGTGTGTGTGTGGCTGTCTTGTCTTGCTTTACGTTGTGTGGGGTGTGGGAGACCTGCTCCCACTAATCGAATAGTACCTGAAGGAGAGGGTGAGGATTAAAGAAAGGACAGCACATTCAGAAGTGTGGGGACAAGAAGTCTGGTTTATTCCAGGCTCTACATACTTTTATATCTTACAATTACGTAACCATCATCTTTCAGGCATAAAAGTTATTTACCAAGTCACATAAGTGAGTAGGAAAAAAGCAAGATTCCCATAGAAGCTATGCTGGGTTTCAAAGCATTCCAGAAAGATAAAGAAGTATTTATTTTTCACACAAGGTACAGCTGCTAGGCCTTGAACCAAATGTTCTCTTATTATTAAAGTTAACTCCTTCTTTTCTGGAACAGCCCTCCACAATTCCCCCTTTTATTTATAATTAGAATGGAGGCTCTTCCATTCTTAGCAGAAAGACTGTGCCTGTCTTAGGCGAGAAATGTCTAGAGGAATCCCTTACCCGTCATTGAGACATAAGAAATTAACTTCTTATGTTCTGTCTTAGGTTGGATATGCCTCCATATTTTCTCTTACCCGTCATTGACTACCAGTCTCCGAAGGGGCTATACATCAGGAGGTCTGACATGCAGATGAAGGCCATGCACTGACCAGCCATGGTGGTGATTGATGAAACGAACATTCTGGTCAAAGCAGAAACAACCATACATCCGATACAGATTCCAATGCCAATTGCCAAGATGGGCCATAACAATTTATACCAATGATCAAAAAAAGGAAAAATATTTTTAAGATAATTCAAAAAATTTTCAGCTGTTTGAGCAGCATCATATTTCAGAGAGGGTGCATTTTGTAAATTCAAAATCTCTTGACGAAAATGTATAAGGTCAAGAGAAGTATTATAATCATTCCATATTCCCTGCAAATGCTTTCTTATCTGAAACCAATCATATTGTGTTCTATTATAAGATTTTCGAGTAACACAAATCCATTTATACATAGCATGACAAGAAAGACAAGATTGAATCTGTAAACTCTGAATTTCATCTCCCATAATATCAACTATTTTATAAAGAGCATTTAATTTTTGTTCTAATCTCTTATCTACATCATATTGGGTAACAAAAGTATGGGTAGCATTTTGAGCGAGGGATTAACAAACAGCTTCTTTTACTTCTTGGGTTAATGCCGCAACAGCCATAGTTGCTGAGGCTATAATAGTGACAAGAACTATGACTCCAACAATAACCCATTCAATAAATCTTTTTTGTCTAGCTAAAGCCTCACTAATCATCTCAAGCACCTGCAATCCTTGTTCTTCATACCAGATCTCATTAATGGATACAGGAATCATAACAAAGAGAGGTTGTCTTAAAACCATAAGAGACAAATTATTATCAGATACATTAGTGATACAATTAGATAAAATACAATTAGAACAATTAATATTATATTCCTTATCATTTTCATATATAATCTGCGTATTTCCTATTAACAGAACATACGGGGCATCAACACAGGGCAAGACAGCTTTCTTTTATCCTTTGGCTAGAGATAACACAGTATTTATGGTATTTTGCGTATTTGAGGCCCCTTTGCCAAAAACAGTGAAACTAAGGTTAGTGACTTTGATATTTGGCCATAAACGTTTTTCTCCCAATGCAGCAGCCAGTTTCCAAATGTTGGTCTGAGGAAAACCTGAATCTCTCCACCAGTTTCCTGCAGATAAGCTTAAGTCTGTGGAATTTCCAAGTGATTAGTCCAAAAACTTTCGAGATGTGTCATTAAATAGTCTTTCCTGAGGTATAGTAACATTGTCTCTTCCTCACACAGGGGAAGGGATTGCAGGGGCTCACCAGTTCCATTTTTGTCCTTTTTTTCAGATAGAAGATGGTCACATTTTGCTTTTTGGAATGAAATTTCCGCTTGTACACCGAGACACATCTTGGAGTTCTCTCTGTTACTTCATTGTTGGGGTCCCAATCTGGTCTCTTCAGTAGAAACCCAGCTTCAAGCTGTTCAGGGATAGTAGTGGGTCTATAAATGTACCTATAACCTTAAGTAGGTGGAGCAGAAGAGAAGGGAGAATACCTGGACCAAAAGGTTATTATCAGAAACAATATACTGGAAAACCTGCATGGTCAGAGAACGTGAATACATTTTGTATACCAGAAAAGTAGCAGTAATAACTATTATAATTATATGAAATCTTATGTCCTGTAATGAAGCTTTGTATCAACAGGATTTTCCCCCTTTTATTTTTTTATTTTTTATTTTTTTGAAATATTATATTTTGAAGATAACCATCATAAATATGTTACAATAACATATTCAGAATTCAGCCTTTTGATGATAACCAATGTAAACATTTTTAACAACGTATTTAACAAGGCATATCTTTTTATAATGTGATGAAAATTATTTGGGTGGCTCCCATTAGTGCACAAAGATCAGAATAAATTTTCTGAGCAGCTGCTTCTTTATTTACCAACAGGATTGCACCCAAGCTTACAAGTTTATATTTAATTATCTTTAAATTTTTTACTTAACCTATAAAACCAGGGTGTAGAAATCAACAATCTACTTATATTTGATATCATTTTGATCAAAAACATAATCGGACACTTTTGAACATTTAGACAGACAAACATATAAGACAATTTAAACTAGAGTGCACTCAGATGGTTTTGGCCAATTGAATTATAAAATCTTTTAGTTATGACTAGTCAAGACTTTTGCAGGTCAAAGTTAACAGAGATCTCTTATAGAATTAGGGTTAAAGGAAGAAAAGCTGTTCTTGACTGTAAATATAAACCTTTTATAATAAACTTGAAACCAACAAGCAAGGATACTTATTTTTTTTTATTAAATAATTTTTACATACCTTCTCTACATAGTTAGGCCTTTTGGTCTTGTATATCTTTCTTTACCTGTTTTTAATCAGATGAACACAAAAAAACCCTTCATGTCAAAAGTATAACTCTTATTTATAGCTTTCCTAATATTTTTCTGCCTCATTTACTATTAATTTTCTATAACAAACTTCAGCTTAAAGTATCCTTTTTCTGTTTTCCGATTGTTACATCTTAAAATTTGACTGGCTGCCAATAGAACAGTATTAACCTTGAGTTTTAGAAAAGAGCAAGTTAACCCTATAATCACAGTTTAAGAATTTGCAGTGTACAAGAAGTGTTACCAAAACTAAATAGTTCTCATTAGCAGCTGATTGTCCCAGAGCCACTCCTAGGCTGGAGTTGTTTTGAAATCTCTTTCTTAGTTATATGGAGTCCAGGGTCAGCTGCAGTCTGATGGACCTCTTGGAAATTATCTAAAATTAGGGTTAGGGAGGC